CTTGTTCAGCCTCCACAAGAGAAGGCTGAGGGGGGATCTAGTGGCCTGTTACAAACTAGTCAGAGGGGACCAGCAAGTATTGGGGGAGTTTCTGTTCCCTCAAGCACTACCAGGAGTGACTAGAAATAATGGTCACAAGCTGGCAGAGGGTAGATTCAGACTAGACATCAGGAGGCGCTACTTCACAGCCAGGGCGGCTAGGATCTGGAACCAACTTCCAAGAGAAGTGGTGCTGGCTCCTACCCTGGGGGTCTTTAAGAGGAGGTTAGATGAACACCTTGCCGGGGTCATTTGACCCCAGTACTCTTTCCTACCATGGCAGGGGGTCAGACTTGATGATCTACTCAGGTCCCTTCCGACCCTACAAACTATGAAAATATGAAACACTCTGTCTACACAGCAATCTTGTCAATGAATTGAAACTCAAAAAGGAATTCTACAGAAAGTGGAACATTGGTTGCAGTACTAGGGAAAAGTATAAGAAAATTGGATGGGTATGCAGGGAGAAAATTCAAAGGCCAAGGCATCATTTGAGATGCAACTGGCAAGGGACATAAGAGGTTTTTAAAAGGGATTCTACACGTATGTCAAAAGTAAGAGGAAGGCTGAAGAAACCACAGGTCCCATATGGAATGTGGAAAGCAGTCTAGTTATGGATGACACAGAGAAGGCTGAAGTATTTAATACCTTTTTTACTTCAGTCTTCACAGATAGAGGCAGCTACCAGATGATGAGTGCATTTGGCAGAAAAGTTAGGGAAAGTATCAAACAGCGTAGAGTAGTGAAAGAACAGATTAGGGATTATTTAGGGAAGCTAGATGCTTTCAAGTGGGCAGGGCCAGATGGGATATACCCTCAGGTACTGAAGGAATTGGCTTAGGTAATGTCAGAGCCATTAGCTATCCTCCTTGAGAATTCATGGAGGTTGGGTGAGGTCCCAGATAATTGGAAAAGGGCAAATATACATCTTTAAGAGGAGAAGGAATATCTGGAGAATTACACACCAGTCAGCCTAATCTTGAGACCTGAAAAGATCATGTAGCAGGTCATTAAGGAATTCATTGTTAAGCTTCTACAGGAGAACAAGGTGTCCAGGAATAGCCAGCATGATTTCACCAAGAGCAAGTCATTTCTGACCAGTTTGATTTCCTCTTATGATAAGTCAACAGGCTCTGTGGAGAGGGAGCAGTGGATGTGATATGTCTTGAGTTTAGCAAGGCTTTTGACACTCTCCCATGACATTCTCATTAACAAACTAAGGAAATACAAACTAGATTAAAGTACTGTGGATATATAACGGGTTGACTCATTGTGCTCATCATTGGCTCAAAGTCTAGTTGGAAGGAGGTATCAGGTAGGAATCATCAGAGGGCTCTACTGGGTCTAGTACTGTTTAACTTCATTAATGGGTTTGGACAACAGGATTGAGTGCATGTTTAACCAATTTATGGATTGTTACCCAAGCTAGGTGGAACTGCAGACACTTTTTGGAAGATAGGTCTAGGATCCCGAATAACTTGGATAGACTAGAAAACTGCCTGCAATGAATTACATGAGATACAGCAAAGACAGAATAATTGTATGCATTAATAGAGACTGGGGAATGACTAGCTAGGTTGCAGTACTGCAGAGAAGGATGTGGGGATTACAGTGGACAATAAACTGAATATAAGCCATCAATATGTTCTTGTTGTCATAAAAGCTATCAGCTTCTTGGACTGTATTTAATAGGGGTGTCACTTGCAAATCAAGGATTCCTCTGCTCTACTGGGCACAGCTGAGTCCTCACCTGGAGTACAGTATCCAGTTTGGGCTCCACATGTTAAGTAGAAGTCAGTAGGCTCCACTTCAAGAAAGATGTGGATAGATTGGAAAAAGTCCAGTGGAGAGTGATAAAAATGATTAGAGGGCTGGGAAACATGGTTTATGAGGAAAGGCTGAAAGAACTAGGGTTATTTAATCTAAAAAAGGGAAGACTGAGCGGGGATTTTTTTTCTCTGTGGCCTCGGGGGCCAGCACTAAGATCATGGCTTCAGTGAGGATGGGACTAAGATCAATGAGAAGTTGTGGAATCTCCATCCATGGAAATTTTCAGGAATGAGTTAGATGGACACTTCACTGGGATGGTTTAGTCAGGGGTCTGGACCTTGAGCAGGGGGCTGGACTAGATGACCTCATGAGATCCCTTCCAGCCCTACTTTCCTATGGAGTCAAAGTACCAGTTAAGCTAGTATTCCCAACTTTTCTGGCCTTATGATTCAGTTCTGGTGTGAATCCAGTTCTTGCAATTAAATTTTCTTGGGCTTGTAATCCTATTTGCACATCTCATATTTCATTTGGAAGATATTGATTTAGCCAAGAAATGCCATAGTGGAGAAATGACTGTTTAGCACATTACTTGTGCATGAACATCTTTTCTAGTTTCTGTATTCTAATAAAAATAAAATATTTATATATGTGAGCAAGGCTTAATCCTTAAACATCAAAGGATTTTGTTTTAAGATTTTATGCAAAACATCCGAAATGCTTAAAGTATATATTTCAAGGAATAAATGTCACATGTTTCTTCCAGATTTCCACCCCCATAATTGCCATCTCCAAGAGTTCTTGAACCTCTTGGCTGCGTCCAGATGAGTGCAGATGTTTGGTTCTCCAGGGAATGCCTGTGCCATGTGTGCTTTGGCACATGGCAGGTTACCCTGGGGGTGGTAAGGGAGGCTGGAGCCAGCACTATGCTGGCCCCAGCAGCTTTACCTGGAGTCTTCGGGTTCTCCCAGGGCTGCAGCAGCAGCAGTCCTGCCAGGCAGAGCCTGGCTGGCAGACACAACGTGGCTCCAGGTGGCCCGGCTCTGCTTTTCAGCAGCATGCACTGCCCGTGCATGCGCTGCTCTGGTTTTTTGGTTTTTTTCCCCCACAGGGTTTTTTTTGTTCCCTGGATATTCGGCGGTCAAAAAAACCTATGGGAGGAAAAAAAAACCTGGTGCAGCACACACACGGGCAGTGTGCCCTTGCAGTGCCAAGAACACCTGACTGTGCGGTATGTGGCGCTACAGATGTGTTCGTGGCACCCCATATCTCACAGCCATGCTTCTGGATGTGGTCCTTGTTTCCAGATTAGGGATTTTTGGTTAGCTCATCTCTGTTTATCTGTCTTCAATTTTATTACTGTTTCTTTTTAGCCATTTCTCATCTATATGTTTTTGCAGTCACAGAAATTGTTGGCCCGAGTTATAGGAAGACGGTGGGCATTCTCTATCAAGTGGCTTTTACAGTTGGGCTCATAGTGCTGGATGCTGTTGCTTACGTTATTCCTCATTGGAGATGGCTGCAGCTTGCTGTTACACTGCCAGGCTTCCTCTTCTTGTTCAATTACTGGTAAATACTTTTATGAAAAATTAAAATGTTTTTCTTCATCTCTAAGTGACTCTCAAGAAGCTACCTGGATGGATGAATGGTTGGATGGAGCTCCTCTTAGAGACTGCTCCTGCCAGTGCAAATGAGAGAGACATGTCAACAAAGAGGAGCAAGTCTTCATCTGTTGTCCTTAGCTGGAAATATTGTGCACACCTTATCTACCTCTTCCTCCATTATGTGCTTGAATTTCTTTTTGTAAAGAGAAACTGGATTTGAAATCATATGTGAGACGCTGAATTTTACTTAACATGAAAATCAACTGACCATTTGTTTAAAGGACCTTTAGTTAATTTTCGTAATGTTACCTTGAAATGATGGCTCTTTCGTGGGAACTCTCCACTGCCAAAGTATCTATTTGTTTATAGCAAACTCTTGCACAGAACTCTTTTTTTTTAATGTTCACGATTTTGTGCACAGCCAAGAAAAAGGGGACGTAGCTTCCTTTTAAGTAGATGAAATACATTTATCATTTATAAGATTTAACTTGGACCTTTTCGGCTTCATACATCTCTTAAGCTTTCAGGGATATGAAGAGGTGTTTGGCTGGTGTAGTGGATAGCTAAGGGGTGAAGTATTTTGGGTGGGCTTGGGGGCATTTTTGTAAGCTTTGTCTCTTGATAACTTGTTCCAATATTTCTGTGCATGGGCTTTGACTAGTCCCAAGATGCAGTTGGAAGATGACTCCCCCTGGAGGAACCAGATGGATAAATTAGTTGAGGAAGTGATCAGGGTTCAAATCACACTTTGACTCTTGTGGGGGTCGGTGGTGGTGGAAAAAAGCTTCAGGGCAGCCAGGGCATAGCCTGGCTGCAGCAAAAAGGTCCCAGTAGAGATCAGGGTGAGGGGCTGCTTTTCCCCCGCGCTTAACCAGCAGTTTCTTCCTGGTTGCTGGTGGTCTGTCTCTTATGGAGGGGGTTCCAGCTCTTCAAGCCCCCTGTAATTCAAACCCTGGAAGTAATGTATATATATTTTTTACTCCAAGTCTTTCATAGCTTTCTATTATTTATCCTCAACTTGTTCATCTCCAGCTAGACTTACTGTCACGAAGTCATAGCACAACAAACTGATAGTTTTTCTGACAAGTAGGAAATAATGGTCACTGCATGAAGCAATATCCACTACAGTATTGGTTCAGTATCAAAAGCTACACTGATAGTGCTTTGCTTCCTTGTGACACTCTCTGCTCACTTGCATTGCAGGTGTCTGCCAGAGTCTCCCAGGTGGTTGATATCTCAAAGACGAAATGAAAAGGCTATGAAAATTGTCCACAATATTGCCCAAAAAAATGGGAAAAAGCTGCCTGTTCATCTTGAGGTGAGGAGGGCATTATAATAGTTCTACATATAATACCTTCCACTTGGGGAATGGAGCATAGTTGGAAATATGAAGCTCAACCTCACTACCTGCTGGATAGGTATTACTCTCTCTTATGCCAGTTGGTGAATCAAGTTAAAAGCCTAATGATGTGCTCCATATAAGTTGGGAGGGTTGAGGGTTTAGAAGGGAGCCCGGTGCTGCACCTTTTCCACAAACTTCCTGTGTATATCCCAGAGTTGGAATTATTTTGCTTTGCTGTTTTGCTGACTCCAGACTAATTGAGACTAAAAGAGTAGGGTATTAGGCATCTGATGGATACATAATAGGAAACCCTGGATCAAAAGAAAAAAAGAAAAAATACTACTAAATCTACAGTAGTAGTATTTATTGAGAGAATTCTTTTGATTAACTTCTCCATTATGACCTTTCTCCACTGCATTCCTTGCAATTATAAGAATGGAAATAGATGCAGTCCCTGAAGCTGGTGCATGCAGTATATGTGAGATGCTGCTTCATATGCTTACATTGGATAGCCAAGTCCCTTCCTGGTTCTTTTTTAAGGCATAGAATTTTCTTACCCTTCAACCCTTGATGTAATGCTGTATGGGTTTTTCTGTAGAATATTAGCTTTGAAGAGGAACACTGTGAAGAGCTGAGACCTTCCCCTGTGGATCTTATCAGGACACCTCAGATGAGGAAGCACACATTCATTTTGATGTACAACTGGTAAGAACAAGCTGTCTAGAAATTATCACAACGCATTAAGTCCCCAATTTTGTTTTAAACTTGGTTCTTGCATTCAGTACTCTGTCATTTATCCAGACTGTTTTTATTCTGTGCAAGTTGGAGAGGGGGCACTTTCATTTGGGATCCAAGTCTCATTGGCCGAAGGAAGCACCTCTTAACCAGAGACTATCCAAATCAATGTAATGAGTTTAGATAAAACCTAATGAAATCATTTTGAGCCTGTATACATTAGGAGAGTTGATTTAAGTAGGACAGTAATTACCAGTGGTGAAACTTGTTAATATAGTGGACAGGGATGTATTAGGGAAATAAATCAGTGGGAAGGAAAAAGAATGACAAAGTTGGATAGTGTAGCTTTTTCTTTCAACTTAGATGTAGCTCAAAAAAAAGAAGTGAGACACAAAAATGTGGAGTTTTATATCACTTTTTATTGAATCCCTTAAAATTGGATGAGAGGTAGGTTTTCCTGGGGAAATGTATGTTACGTGTTTAATGAAGCACCCATAACAGTGTTGTCAATTCACAGTTATTAATTGCATGTTAGACTGTATGGTTATGACAATTTTATGTTGACTTTAAATAATTTCTTAATTTTGGTGTAGTCTTAGGAAACAATTTCAGGTAAATTTCTGTCTGAGATGAGATTTTTTTTTATATAAATATTTGACTTGGAGAAATCACCTACCTTCTGATCTCTCCCCATATTTGATATGTTCTAAGAACTATTTTTTCCCCAACTATTCCAGACTTTTAAAAAGGATTAATCTACAAAAATTCATTGCTTTAGGCAGCTATTTTCCATTATAATGAATATATATGAGGGTGTTTCAGAAACTAAAGGTTATTTCAAAATAAAACAATTTTGGGCACGTTCACACATGCAGGCACATGCACTTGCAGCAGCTCAAATAGCAGTGGCACACATTTGTGCCAGAGATTTGTGCCTCAGCACATGTGCCTGAACACGCACTTTGTGGGGCAAATTGTGCCACTTGAGGCAAACAGACCCTGCTCAGCATCTCCCAGATCTTCAGCCAGGAGCTGGCCCCAGCAATATAAAAAGCTGCCCTGGTGAGCAGCTCAGAGAGCTTCTGAGGCCCAACCAGTTGATATCTGGGAGCACTAGCCCCTAGTGCCAGCTGGACTGCTGAAGCAGCCCTAACCTAGAATGGCCCCTGCACCCTCTACCCACTGCAGCAGTTTTGCAGTGGGGACTGCTGCCTGGCTGTGAACTGCTGCCACCTGTGTGACAGCATCTGTCACCTGCAACAGCATCTGCCCTCTTGGACCTGCAGCCCTGTGGCTGCATGCCTGACAGACCCAGATGGAAACTGCCCAGCTGCCTGGGTTGTGGTATGGGCACTGCAGCAGAGCCACCTGCACCTCTGGGCCAGCTGCCAGTGGGCCGTGGCTGCACAGTTGGCCTTCATATGGCACTGCTGTCATGTCTTCTGGTGCCTCTGCTCTGCCATCTGCCAGCTATCATCCGGAAGATGTGCTCATTGCGGTGACCCACTATGATCTGTCAAAGCATGTCCTCCTGGCACCAAATGGCCAGGAGGTCAGCCACCTCATCTGCCCTCCAGTTGGGTTCCTGGTGCTGGCCCTGGGCAGGCTCCTCTGCCTGGGTCTTGCCACTTGTCTCACTATCAGAGATCCTGGTGTTCTCTGTTTAAAAATTGCAAAATTCTCTGATAAACCCCCAAATTCTCTCATTAAAATACCCAAAATCTGTGTTCTTCCATGATTAAAATGAAACGCAACTATATAGAGAGAGATCAGTTCAGCAATGGTTTATTGACATGTAACAGACTGCCAATGTGGGCTCACCAGATTAGCTTGAGATACGTACCCTTGGCTAGAAACAGTGCGGGTGAATTCTGAGCGACCCCAAGGGTGGAGCAGGGGAGCCCTGCCCTGTGGAAAAGGAGAAGCCAATCGAAAGAAGGGGTTTTCAATCCCCTCATCCCCATGGAAGGGGGATGGCCCGGGTTGGGAGCCCGCCACCCTGAGCTGGCCGGTTTGCAAGCCAGGGAGGGAGTGCCGGAGGGGATAAAAGCAGCAGCCAAACTGGCATGGGGGGCTGCTGACAGTGACTCCAGGGAAGGAAGCAAGAGGCCTAAGAAGAGCTGAGGTGAGCTCACCCAGCAGAGGGAGCAGAGAAACCCCTCTGAAGAGCCTCGAAGGCCCTGGGAGAAGAAGGCAGTGGCAGTCGGCCGTGCCTGCAGCCCTGCAGCAGAGAGGGAGCTGTGGCCAGGGGCTTGGGGCAGAGAGTTGGTGCCCCAAGGCCCCATCACAGTGTGCTGGATGTGTCGGGTGTCCCAGAGGCTAGGGGTGGCCCCTACACTCCACTGCAGAGAAGAAGCAGCGGCCAGGAGCGCAGGCAGCATCCTTACCCAGAGCAGGGAGTTGGGCCGGTGAGTTGAGGAAACCCTTACCTTCTCTGGGGAAGCAGGACAGCAGCAGGCAAGGCACTGAGATCCTGAGGAACAGCAGAGCGTCAGGACGAGGGTCCCTGGGAGCTTGGGGTGCAGGCTGGTGCTCAGAGCAGGATTGGTGAGCTGCAAGGCATGTGGGGCTCCCAGCCAGTCCCTCCCACAGTTCCCCCACATAAGCCCTACACCCCCTAATCCCACTTGCCCCCCTGTATGGTGCACAGTCCTCCTCCCCACTGCAGCAGCAGCTGTTGGGGCACTTGTGGCCCACTCCTGGCAGAGACCCCTTGGCGGCACGCAGTGTCACCTGAGACTTGGGGATGCACATTGTGCGTGGCACTGGCCTGGCCTGCTGGTGTGTGTCCTTGGGCAGACCTGGGTTGACTCTTGCTGCCACCAGGGCACATGGAGGCAGGACCCGGCCTGGTTTGCTGGTGTGCAACTTCTGCATATGGTGCTGGGAGCCCAGGTGGCAACAAGAGCCAGCCTGGTTCTGGTTGAGGGCACATACCAGCGGACTAGGTCAGTGCTGTGTGCCATGTGCAGCCCCTGGGTCTCAGGTGGCACCACATGCTGCTAGGGTCTCTTTCAGGAGTGAGCCATGAGTGCTCCAATGGCCCAGTGCTCCTGCTGCGGGGAGGGGCTGCATACCCGGAGGCCGGGGGGGGGAGGGGGGCGGTAGACCCATGCCTCCCACATAGTCTTTCCTGTCCCCACACAGTCCCCTTCACCCCGACATCCTTGCTTGCCTGGGGTTGGGCTGGGGCTGCTACTGTCAGCCTTGCCCCACTCCTGAGGCAGCCTGCTGGAGCAGCAGGGGCACGTGACAGGCATAGAGATGCTTTGCCCAGGTGCCAGAGCATCTCTCTGGAGGACAGCTTCCAGTTGCTTCAGGGCAGGAGCTCACCCTGCACTGCTTTTTTTTCAGCATGTTTTGTTTTGATACTGGGATTTCCTGGTATCAAATTTAGAGTCTATGCTGCAAATATGCAGCATGGGGAAACTTTTTTTGTTCCTAGCGTGCCTCTTGTGGCATCTCAAACTGCTTTGAGATGCCGCAACAGGCACGTACTCGCTTGTCTGGACACAGCCTTTTTGTTCAATGATCATTTACTGGACCACGTTGCTTCTCTGTGTTAATGTAAATAATAGATGCATTTGACATTGCTGCTATCGGTGTTTTTCACTGCTGTGTAGTTTCCCATTTTGTTGCGGACATACAGCATGGACACGGACAGCCATTTTGCTGTCAGTTTCTGAAACACCCTCATAAACATAATTTCAATTGTAAACCCACAATCATAGCATGGGATTAGAAGTTTGAGTAAACTGGAGGCGTTTAAAGTTTATTTTATGCTACCCAGCCTGCATTCAATATTTAACTCCTGACTAACCATTTTCATTTATAAGTTGCAAACCTGCCCTCCAGTTCCTCTGTCCCAACATTCCTCTACTGTTCTTCCCACACTCACACTCATGCTCCTAGGTTTTTGTGAACACTGTTAAATTAGAGCTGAAGTTCATTTCCTTGAGCTAATTGGCTTTAAAAAGTTTGTTTACAAATGCTCCAAGAAGCAGCAAGTCTCTGTCCTTTGACTAAATCATCTTTTAAGAAACTTGGACTATGTTCTCTGCCCAGGTTCGCCGGCTCTGTTCTGTACCAGGGGCTCATCATGCACATGGGAATAGCTGGTGGGATCATTTACCTGGACTTCTTCTATACTGCTCTTGTTGAATTTCCAGCCGCCCTCATTATTTTTCTCACAATCAATCGAATTGGACGACGCTATCCATGGGCTGCTGCAAATTTTGTGGCTGGAGCTGCCTGCCTTATTACAGCTTTAATCCCAGAGGGTGAGTTACTGGAGTTTTCATTAACACACCATCGTAATGTTATCTTTTGGAGGTGCCATTCATCTGTCAAGCTACATTCCGGGTTGGAAGGCTTATGAAAACTCCTGTGTTTGTTTTCTGCACCACTAATGAGTACAGGAGAAGTCTGTCCCCACTCCACCCCCTGACAAATGAAATATTCTTACAGGTAAAATCTGGTTCATGCAAACAACAACAAAAAACACACTTGAACTAATAAATGACATCTCGAGTGGGATTATGGATCAACTAAAACAATATTGTTTCAATGCTTTTACCCCTCAGAAAGCAAAAATCCCCAAAACGAACCCTCTGAAAACAACTTAAGTGAATTACATTTGTTTCTTTTGCAGATATACACTGGCTAAAAGTTGCAGTAGCTTGCATTGGGAGAATGGGGATTACAATATCTTTTGAGATGGTTTGCTTTGTAAACGTAGAATTGTATCCAACATTTGTCAGGTACGTGCATTATTCTGGTGCGAACGGCAGCTGTTAAAACTGGTAGATAATATTGGAATAAAATATAACTTGGTACAGATATGCTTCAGAATAATAGACTTCTCAATGTCTAAAGGACATTACACAAACAGACTACTTAGAAAATTGACTAAAAGGCAAGTTAATGCAGAAATTAACTATGTAACTTCTCCAAATTCCTCTTACAGTAGGAAAAACACCTAGGGCTAGATTAAAGAGTAGATGGGGAAGATTCTGGGATGTCTGAGGGGACTATAGTTTAAAAGCTAATATTTTGGTGGATCTGTATTCCTTTTGCACCTTAAAAAGGAATAGTAGATTCTCCATCTCTTGATGTTTTCAAATTGAAGCTGAATGAAGGACAAGCTTTTGTCCAACCCAGCTACTGAGCTCTGTAAAAGGGTTACTGAGTGACATGTAGCAGCCTGTGATTGTATAGGAGGTTCTACTGGATGATCTAATGCTTCTTTCTGACCTTAATCTCTACAAAAGTATTAACCCTCATCAGAATACTGGGACAGTGGCTGAGAGGCATTTCAATACTCTGATTCACCATAAAAAATAAAATGGAATTAAAAGAATCTGATTTTAGTTGATGAGATGTAGGAACATTGTATGTAAAATAACATTCTGCATATACAGTTTATGTAGAGAGCTAAAGAAGATTTAATTTATGGGCCATTTTCATATTCTGACATTCATTTAAAAATGTCTTGTTAGCTCATTTTTATATCTCTTATCTGGACACTTTGAATCTGATTTTCAACAACTTTTAACTTCAGAGAATTGCTTCTGCTTCTGCCCAAGAGATGTAAAACCCTCTCACTGCTATTGTAAGGTTTTAATCTCATGCCAGGTAGTAGAGAATCGGGACCTTTGCTTCTATTGTGATATTGCATTACTTCTTGCTGATTTACAGAATACATTCTGTGTGCTAGGTTACAGTTTTAATTAGCTTCATTCCAGCTATGGGACTTTTCCAGACTAATAAAATAAAATATGTTGCTATTTAATCAGGAACCTTGGTGTAACAGTTTGCTCTGCCCTGTGTGATGTTGGTGGGATTGTAGCCCCGTTCATCGTCTACAGATTGGCAGAGATCTGGCATGAGCTTCCCCTTGTAGTTTTTAGTAAGTATTATTACGCTCGCTTTTAGACCATTCCTCAAGTACATTAACAATACCTTTGCAAAACATCCTAAGAGACTTATTGCAAGTGTGTATACACGTGTGTGTGTAATAATTTCCATTTTTCACAATCTTCACATTGTGAGTATCTAGTTTTTAGCTTCCAGCTTGTTTATATGTTTAGAATCCACTTTTATGTTTTAATCACTGTTTATTTCATATTTTAAGAAAGTTGCAGAGCAAATGTTGATTTGACAAGGTGAAGAGAACTGTGAAATCTACCAAGAGTCTGATCACATTTCAGTCTGTTGAAAATACTCACTTGATTTATTGTCCCATTTCTATAATATTGGTTACCTTCTTGTTGAGACAAGTTACTTGAACTTCACATAGTATCTACCTGGCATATCTGATGGATTATAAGGGTAGGCCAAGCTATATGTCAGCCTTTTCAATAGTGTCTTTGTTGATAGGACAACTATGTAATTGTTTATGGGCTTAAAAATAACTCTCTTCAAAGCAAGGTGAGCTTCCTGGAGATTAGCTGATCAAAATTTCAGGCTAGATATGGCAATATTTCTAAAGCATCAGATTAGTGCATTGTTTCTAGAAGAATTTTGTGGAAGACAATAAATGGCTTTTAATAAAGGGCATTCTTAAGAGATTTTTGCACTGAATTTACATATATATTTTACAGTGGAACTTGGAGAGAGAGAGTGAGTTAATCTCGCAGCTGGTAAATCCTGATTACCCTCACCTCACCCCCCCTCCACATATCCCCCCACACCATACTGTGAAAAGCCTTGGATTTCTCTGGTATTAAGGTAACAAGATTTATATTATAACATCCAATATATAATATGCAAATAAACATTTGTTACTCTAATAGTGGAGAAACTCAATACTTTTCACGTCATACAAGTGTACATTCACTTCTCCTATGCACCTCTTCTTGTCTGAGATTTTAAGTGCAGTGCCTCGATTACAATTAGATTATACTATCAATAATTATTTCTATAGCACTGCCATGTCCTCTGAACATGTCTTCACTGTAGAAACTCTGTATCCATGTTGTCTCTCTAGAGGAAAAATTTATTGTTTACTTTATTAAAAATCCTATGTTTTAATTTAATTTGACAATTATTGCAGCCAGGGACGTGACATGTGTAGTATAATGTAAGATGTGTTCTGACTTGGTCCTTGCATGTGTTTTAAATTCAAAGCTGCTGTTGGTTTAATTGCTGGGGTACTGGTCTTACTTCTGCCTGAGACCAAAGGACGAGTTTTGCCTGAGACTATTCAAGATGTGGAAAACTTGTGCAGGTAAGTTGGGTGGCACACTCAAGCTTTTCAATGTTTTTGAAATATAAAGGGCTATAATGGGTAAAGCTAAAAATAAGGTATATTAACGTCATTAAAACAACTATAGTATTTGTGGTATTTATACTGTGCTCTACTTCAGGGCACTAAGTAAGGAAATGTCATGTAAACTGTGGCAAAGGTAATTTTGTACATGGTTCCCAAATACTATGTTTCTAATGGTGAGTACTTGGCACATTTGTCTAATGGCATTACAAAAATCTCACACACTTGCTATTAATAACATTCTTAATCTTGAGTATTTACATCCTTTTTCATAATGCATGACACTCAATCCCTTGGCATTATTTCTTTCTTTATTCCAATACTGATTTGTTTTTTTCATATAGCTCAGGGGGAGAAAAAGGCAGATGCTTATAAGTTCTCCAAAAGTAAAGCCAGTGCTGTTACTGAGCATTTGTCTTGTAAATTTCATAGATTTCATAGACATTAGGGCTGGAAGGGACCTCGGAAGATCAAGTCCAGGCTCCTGACCGAGGGGCAGGAAGTCAGCTGGGGTCATAGGATCCCAGCAAGATAAACATCCAAATGTCTCTTGAAGGTGTTCAATGTAGGTGCTTGAACCACCTCCGATGGCGGGCTATTCCAGATCTCGGGGGTTCAGACAGTGAAGAAATTCTTCCTTATGTCCAGCCTGAAACAGTCTTGCAGGAGTTTATAACTGTTCGACCTTGTCATCCCTTGGGGTGCTCTGGTGAACAATCGTTCCCCCAGATCCTGGTGAACACCCCTGATAAACTTATAGGTGGCCACCAGATCACTCTTGAGCCTGCGCTTTTCCAGGCTAAAGAGTCCCATAGCTCTCAGCCTCTCACCATGATCAGAGGTCTGTTTTCCTGACCTCTGATCATGCATGTGGTTCTTCTCTGAACTCTCTCAAGCTTCTCCACATTCTTTTTGAATTGTGGAACTCAAAACTGGATGCAGTACTCCATCTGTGACCTCACGAAGGCCGAGTACAATGGGAGAATGATGTCCCGGGATTTGCTTGAGAAGCATCTATGGATGCAAGCTAGCATTTTGCTCGCTTTACTAGCCGCAGCGTCACATTGAAGGCTCATGTTCATCTTGTGGTCAATCATGACCCTCAAGTCCCTTTCATCTGTAGTGCTAACCAGCGTAGCACTGCCAGGCCTATAAGGATACGAACCACACTGGCTTTCTTCCAATCTTCGGGCACTTCACCAAAGCGCCAGGAGTTCTTGAAGATCCGTGCCAGGGACTGAGCTATGATGTTTGCCAGCTCCTTGAGTACCCTGGGGTGTAGATTGTCAAGGCCAGCTGACTTGAAAGTGTCCAGCCTCTCAAAGTGTTCCTTCACAAGGTCAACATTGATGGAGGGCAAGGAATCCCCCTCACCCAGGTCTCCCTGTCCTGCAATAGGCAGGGGCATCCCATGGGACTGATGAAAGACCGATGCAAAGTACCCATTTAGTAGGTTAGCTTTTTCCTGGGCGTCAGTTGTCAGTTGTCCCATCTGGTTTAGCAGGGGTCCAATGTTGCTCT